ACATTTATTCTAAGCCATTCTGATAAACTAGAAGACACATACAGAGCTGGAAAAGATCCAGACTAAGCTAGGATGAAATTACAAGGGTCAGGGAACATGTTAAGAAACAAAACCAACTGAATAAAGAAAAAGACCAAATTCACAAAAGAAGGTAAAAATAGTTCCTGATGGTAAAATCTATAAATTAGGAAAAGGTACATGCAGAATGAACAAATTTCAGAATAACATTCAAGAGCTGGTTTAATTATTTGTCTTTTTAATTTATTTGTCTTTTAAGATGTCATCTTGAGTATCTTTCTATTTTAGTCAACTCAGGAAATCTAGTCCCAAACCGGTCTTGAGGCTAGATTTTTTTTTTTTTTTTTTTTTTTTTTTTTTTTAATTCAAAACCACTTTTGAAAATGGTTTCCCACTGGTCCTGCACAGAGCCTTGGGAGCCACAGAGAAACATTCCTCACTCACCGCCCCAATCCTGCATGACTCAGATATCCAGTATTACCGCAGAAAGACAGCATTCTAGTGCTGTTCTAACTGCTACTCTTTTCTCATGTAGACAAGTCTTAACCCTGAAATACTATATTCAAATATGCAATTCTCTCAACAGCTCAGGATACCTGTAATTGCCTCTATCTACCTGCTATTTGTCTCGCCGTTCCGAGAACATGTCCAAAATCCGTACCCAGATGAATTCCCCTGACAGCATCTCCTCAGGACCATCAGACTCATTTTATATCATATTGCCTCCCAACTCCTTTCAAACCCATTTTCCATTTATGGAACTTGCTGTGCTACCTTTAGTATCTGCTATCATTTCCTCCAAAGAAACTAATACACCTAAAGTGTTCAATCCTTTCATTTTCCATGGGACTCCTACACCCACCTAAGCTACTCCCTCTACCTTCTAAGTACCTTGACTAGGCTGTCCCCTCAGTCACATATATTTGCTTTCATATTCTTCCCACTCAGCGTCCAATACCCTCCTCACCTCCCAAAAATAACCTCACTTCTAAGGGTACAATATCTGGGTTTTGACCTTTTCAAAACCAGTGTAAATATCGTTCTGTCAACACACATACTGCTTTTTACAGCTAAGAGGCAAAAACAGGTTCCAAATAACTTCTGCTACACAGACAGGTGAATCGTTTGAGCTGGCTGAAGGTTTTCCCCAGGACTCATTACTGGTTATTCTTTACCATGAAAAGGTTGATTCTTTTATGTTTAGTTGAAACTAAAGCTCCCTAAAACATTAGAGGATCCTTCATTGGCCAGAGTTAACTGGGAAAAAAAAAACCCGTAACAGGTCACAGACACACATACACACCCATACCTAAAAACCAAAACTCAGAGTTTACCATAAACAAAGCCCAAATATAAGAAGTCACTGTCCACCAATTAACAAGCATAAAATTTAAACACAGGCTCTATGCCAACCTACATTTACTAAGTCTTAGCTTAAAGTGGGCTTCAAGTCTATGCAATGCCCTATCGTTTCTGAAATATCTTCTTATTTACAAACAGAGGACTTTCTGGAAATTCCTACATAGATAAAACACAGCCATTTATGATCTACTTTTCTTTTCCTTAACCTAAACTGTCTTTAAAAGCATAAACTTTGCTGGGCACCTGGGCGGCTCAGTTGGTTAAGTGTCTGCCTTTGGCTCAGGTCCAGGGATCAAGCCCCATGTGGAGCTTCCTGTTCAGCTGGAAGTCTGCTTCTCCGTCCCCCCACCCCCACCCCCAGCTCATGCACTCTCTCTCAAGTAAATAAATAAAATCTTTTAAAAAAAAAAGCATAAACTTTGCTTCCACAAAGAGTGTTGGTAAAACCAGATACACAAAAAGGAATGAAGTTGGACCCTTACTTTACACCATATACAAAAATTAACTCCAAATGGATCAAAGACCTAAAATAACAGCTAAAACTATAAAACTCTTAGAAGAAACCATGGGGGGAAAGCTTCATGACGTTGATTTGCTCAGGCAACAAAAGTGAAAAGAGACATACTGAACTACATCAAAATTTAAAACTTCTGTGCATCAAAGGACAGAGCAAAAAGGCGGCCCACCAAAAGGGAGATTTTACACACACACACACACACATATGTATATATGTATATATATACGTACACATATATATACACATATATGCATATACACACACACACATGCAAGCCCTATATCTGATAAATGGTGAACATCAGAATATGTGAGAGAAAAAAACCTACAAATCAACAACAAAAAGACAAATGACCCAATTAAAAAATGCACAAAGGACTTGATTAAATATTTCTCCCAAAATGGTACACAAATGACCAACAAGCATATGAAAAATCTTTAACATCACTTATCATTAAGGAAATGAAAATCAAAACCTCAAGATACCACATCATACCCATTAGGATGGCTGCTGTCAAGAAACAACCAAACAAAAGAACAACAAAAGCCCAGTGTCAGTGAGGATGAGGAGAAACTAGAACTCTTGAATACTACTGGTGGGCATGTAAAATGATGTAGCTGCTGTGGAAAACAGGGCTTCCAAAAATCAAACATGGAAGTACCATTTGATCCAGCAATTCCACTTCTAGATACATACAGCCAAAATAACTGAAAGCAGGGACTCAAACATATTTATATACCATATTTATTATGTACAAGCAGCATTATTTGCCACAGCCAAAAGGGGAAGGAACACAAAAGTCCAACAATTGATGAAAGGATAAACAAAATATGGTGGAACAGTATTCAGCCTTAAAAAGTAAGGAAATTCTGACACATGCTACAACATGGACGAATGTTATTCTAAGTGAAACAAGCCACTAACAAAAAGACAAATACTATATGAGACCACACACATGAGTGATCTAGAACAGTTAAATTCATAAAGCCAGAAAGTAGAATGGTGGTTGCCAGGGACTGAAGGAAGGGAGACAGAGATTTGTTGTTCAATATAGCTTCAGTTTTGCAAGATGAAAACATTCTGGAAATTGGTTGCACAACAATGTGAATATACTTGATAATACTGAACTATATACATTTAAAAATGGTAAAAATGATAAATTTTACATGGTACGTTTTAACACAATTTTAAGGTATAAACTTAATGGAATACTTCGTACTAATAAATATTTGAAGAAAGAAGCATCTCAAGGTAATAGCCTTTACTTAGGAAACTACAAACACATTGTTATTTTAGATGAAGTAATTATGTCTCAATATTAACATGCGCAGAATGCTATAGTTGTACATATCTTTTAAGTAAAGGTATAATCTGTGCCCTTGAAAATAGCTAAAAAATAACACTTTATACACAAGGTGTGCATTCCCTAAAATTAATAAATTTATAGGAATAATTACTAAAGAATGTACATGGTAATGAAAATAACTTCGTATCAAAGGCCACTATTTCATTTCATTTTAATACTCCCTTTCGTTTGATGGGTTCAAAGAGCTTCACAAAATCTCAGGACACCGTATTTTTTCTGTTTGAGCCATGAATCACACAGCAAAACTTTCCTCACAATGTTTACTGAAAAATGCTGGGCTGGGGCCCCTGGGTGGCTGGCTCAGTCAGTTGGGCTCCTGACTCTTAACTGCAGTTCAGGTCATGAACTGAGGGCTCTGGGATAGAGCCCTGCATTGGGCTCTGTGCTCGGCAGGCAGTCTGCTTGAGATTCTCTCTCTCTCTCTCCCTCTGCCCCTCCCCCACCACTCCCTTTCGCATGTGCGCTCGCGCTCTCTAAAAAATAAATAAATCAAATCTTTAAAAAAAAACAAAAACAAAAACAAAAACAAAAAAAACACTGGGCCGAATGCTAAGTGAGCGTAGCACAGACCAGGGGCCTCCAATGCTTCCCCACTGCTCTTGGCCATCCACAATTGAATAAGAGACCTGAGATACAACTTATTAGCAAATTGAAAGAGCAGATATTTCATGAAATTTAGTGTTTGGCATCTAGATGTCAAAATCAGATTTATCCATTAGCATCTAAGGAAAAACTATATCCATTCTGAATTTAGACATAGAGTTCAAAGTACATTTTTATTCAATTACATTCTCAATTTGATCAAATAATAAGCTACTTGAGAACATAGTCCTGTGCTGTTTTATTCAAAGCAAAAATCAAAGAAATAACTAAGTAACACCTTTACATAAAAAAAACACAAAGATGAGACAGAAATATGAATTTACTACCTTGGGAGTGTCAATCATTGACAGCTCCTGTAACATGCAGATTCCCAAACCCTTCCCCCTCCCATTCTGGTTCTCACATACTAGATTGGGACCTAATAATTTGAATTTTTAACGTGCATTTTTAACAAACACTCTAATAATACTTGGAGTAACAATGCAAAACACACCACCAGTAAGATGCAAATTACACTGGCTCAGAGGTATACCTTATAAGGAAGTTTAGATCTCATCTTATTTAACCTCATCAATACAGGAGCCCTTTCTACAATGCTGACAGATTGATTGATTGATTTTAATAAGAAAGAATACCAGCATATACATAGTCAAATAAACAGCACATGCTGCTCTGTAAGCTTATAAAAACATATTGCTTATTTTAACAATATTGCCATTGTTTGAAACCTAGAATCACCTTTTCTTAGAATCAGCTTTCAATACAGTGTATAAGCCTTCAAACACACAAATTACAGAAAGGAAAACTGTTTTCATTATATCACTGCACTGTCTGGCTTTTGATCAAAATTAGAGCCCCCCAGATTCACCACCTTAGCACTAAAGGAGTTTTGACAACTTCCCAAACAGGCCCCACAGGGTTGAGATTTGCCACCATAGAGAATGCCACCAGAGGATTAAGATGCTATTCCAAAAAATAAATAAATTTTAATGTTTTGAGTAGAGGACAGTCTCCCAAAAAAAGAACGGTTTTGAACAAGATCATGTTGACTTGGACGTGTGAGCTCAAGTAGGCTTTTTTTAAAGCATGTTATTAAACATTACTGAATTCATATCAATAGTAGTAAGACATTACCTGTGATTGCTCTCTTCAGGAGCCTACTGCTGAGCTGTATTTGTGCTCTCCACTGTATCAGAGCGACAGAAAAGATTTCTCCAACACTTGGCACTGCTGGAAACTCCCAGAAGAAGGCTTCCAAGATCTGTAGAAAGAATTAAAAAATTGTCCGGCTATCATTAATAAACTAGGAAACCCAATCTAAGAATCTCAAGTTTGTCTCCCCTCCCTTTACTGCCATTTGTGGTTGCTGAGTGGGTTCTCCTCAGACTGCACTTAGCTTTATCATCAAGGAAATTAAAAGCAAAAAGTCCTGTCCCTGTGCTTTAATAAAACCACTTTTTTGCACCAAAAACATCACAAGAATTCTTTCAAGGCTGTTGGCTCTGAACCCCACCACTTCATCTTTTTTTTTTTTATGATTTATTTACTTATTTTAGAGAGAGAGAGAAGGGGGAGGGGCAGAGGGAGAGGGAGGGAATCCTCAAGCAGACTCCCTGCTGAGCATGGAACCCCATGCAGGACTCAATTCCAGAATCCTGAGATCATGACCTGAGCAGAAACCAATAGTCAGATGCTGAACCAACTAAGCCACCAGGTGCCCCAACACCACTTCAAACCACACCAATGGGGACTAAGGAGGGCACTTGTCCTGATGAGCATCAGGTGTTATATGGAAGTATTGAATCATTGCACAACTGAAACTAATATAACACTGTATGATAGCTATACTTGAATTAAAATAAAATGAAAAAATATATATATACACATATACATACACACTTATATTTAAAACATGGAAACCATTTAAATGCCCAATAACTGGAGAAGAGTTAAGTAAATTTGACACAACATAGTTTACTTAACCATGATTTTGTCAGCCATCAAAAACTTTTATGAGTTTATAATAAAATGGAAAATGCCATTTATCATATAAAGAAAAAGCAGAGTACAATGTTATAATTATATATAATCACAACTACTTATGCAAAAGCAAGAAATAAGATACAATTTGTTTCAATCAAGTTATAAGTATTAGGTAAACTATTTCCCCAACTTAGATGGGTTAAGGTGAGTAATTCAAGTCAGAGTCTAGTATAACAAATAGATCTTTTCAAAATCTCTGTGTAACAAGGATGAACCACCCATGAATGCGATAATTTTTCTGCAACAGTCCAATATATTAAAAGATGGTTTCCTAGAAGTCACTGTCAGAGGTTTTGTGTGTGTTTGACCTACAGGTGCCTCAAAGGCTTAGAAGGTAATACCTTTTCTTGTAACAAATATTTCAAGAAAGCGGAAAAAAAATGGGGGTGTCTTGGGAGGAAGACCTCAGTGTGACCTAAACCTCTAAAACCAGGCACAGTGGCGGTAATGACCAGGCAGAAGAAAAGTGAGTATGAGACTAAAGAATAAAAGGTAACATTTTCCATGCAAATAAATCAATTCTTCATATCCTTAAAAGGAGATAGCAGGTCCAAAATGGAGTCACTAGTGCTAAATCCTGTCAGCAAACCAAGACTTAATACCTAACCTAATTGCATTTCAACCCGCCACAATCCCCCCAGGAATATGACCTTTAGCCAGTCAACATGGAATTAGCTGAATGAGCACCACCGAGATAATCCACCTAATAGACCCCTTCCATCTCCCTTAGGAAGACAAACTTGCCTGAAACAATGCATTCTTTGCTAATAATTTCCTTTTTCCACACCCTTTCTGCCTTTAAAAACCCTTCTTCTTCAACAACTCTGTGAAGTTCCTTTCTATTGCGATGGGATCCTGCCCAATTCATAAATCAGTTGAATGAGGCCAATTTATCTTCAAATTTATTCAGCTGAATTTCTGTTGTTTAAAAATACCAAAAATTTGGGGTGCCTGTTTGGCTCAGTGGTTGAGCAACCAACTCTTAATTGGGGCTAGGGTCATAACCTCAGGGTCGTGAGATCCACGCTGGGTGTGAAGACTGCTTAAGATACTCTCTCACTTCCTCTCCTTCTGCCCCTCCCCATGCACCCCCACCACTAGCTGGGGTGCACAATCATTTTCAAAAAAAAATTTTCTTCAGGACCTTCAAATTTGCCTTCTTCACTCTAATCAATTAATCAGTTATTAAGCATCTGGGACATCATAGTTAAATTCATAATCACATCTCAGGCAATTTCATCACAAGAGGTTTTACAAAGAATGGAATGCTACTTTCTCCATAATCCCATGTGAACAGTTTTATCATCATGTATGGGAGAGATACAGGCTCTTCTACAGCCTCTTAAGAATTACAGATTGCTTCCAGATGCTTTTCAGGTGATTTTGAGCCTTTCTTCATCCTGTGACTGCTGAATTATGAAAGGGCATCTCTAATTCATGAGAAATACTTCTCTCATCTTAGTGTCCATTATCATATACCTCCCCTTACACTCAACATTTTGAGGCGCTCACACATACGCTTTTACTTAGGTAATAAGGCATCGCTGTGTGTGGGTGAGGGCTTTACTGAGAACCACTTTTTTTTTTTTAAAGATTTTATTTATTTATTTGACAGAGACAGAGATCACAAGGAGTCAGAGAAGCAGGCAGAGAGAGAGGAGGAAGCAGGCTCCCTGCTGAGCAGAGAGCCTGATGTGGGGCTCGATCCCAGGACCCTGAGATCATGACCTGAGCTGAAGGCAGAGGCTTTAACCCACTGAGCCACCCAGGTGCCCCAACTGAGAACCACTTCTATTTCACCATCATGATTCCCTGGCAGCAACAATTCAGGACTCCAAAGGACGCCAAGTCCTTTAACGGTAATGCAGAGAATGACATCAAAAGCAAGGTTAAACAAAACTCAAGGAAACTGAAAGGACTCTTTTAAAATTCGCTGGGTCTTGATAGTTCTCTTGATTGTCATCTCATTTAAAAACAAAATATTTCTCCTGCTAAAAAGAGTGTGGGGTTGGCAGTTAACAACTCAGTCACACTCAAATCTCTGCTCAGGCAAGTGCTCTCCTTTGAACAAAATGTCCTACCTCCATATAATAAAATCAAATTCAGGCTCACACTCCTGTGTTACAGCGATGTCACATCCCTAATTTCAACAAAAGAACAAAATTTAAACTTCATTTCCAGATGGCATAAATTCAATGAATTTAGACCTCTGCTGTGCTGAGTTCAGAAACCTGTTAATAGACAGGAATACACAAAAAGTATTAGCAAAACCACCAAATGAACATGGCAAGGGGGAGGGATGGATAATTAATACCTACATCATAAATTTCTCCCTATAATCAATAAAAGAGATGCGGGGGTTTACACAGGAGGTGTAGATTTATCCACAGCACTATATTAATTGACCTCTGTTATAATCAAGTGCTTTCCTGCAAGGTAATTAAATCAATCAATCAAAACAGAAGTCTCTAAAAGTTCAACAAGTTCATTCCAACACATGCAATTGACTATGAGCTAATTATTGAATTTCATTCTCCAAAAGAGCTGATCTGAGATAGATTATATTCACATGTGGACACTGTAGAGCAGAACAAAATGTTCTATGTAGTCTTACAATCTTCACTGATTCCATTAAGCATATAATAACTCAGCCTTAAAATGGATGCACTTAAACCCAATCCCTGAATTCACAAATGATAAAAATGAAGTACAAGAGGCAAAGGGGCCTGTTCAAGAGGGAATAGCTGGAAACTGTGAAGACAGAGGTAGGTCCCATATCTTCTGAGCCACAATGATGTTATCTTCTCTACATTAAGCTCACAATTCCTCAACTATACTACCCATTAAGTTGATCTTATTCCTTTCCCTTACCAGCAAAACTTTTTTTTTTATTAACATATAATGTATTATTTGTTTCAGGGCTACAGGTCTGTGATTCATCAGTCCTACACAATTCACAGTGCTCACCATAGCACATACCCTTCCCCATGTCCATCCCCCAGCCACCCCATCCCTCCCACACCCCTCCACTCCAGCAACCCTAAACCTTTGGGAAAAGTTGAAACACATTAAGCTTCAATCTTCAATTTCCATTCAATCAATCCCTGAGATTTTGCATTAGATACATAGAGTCTCCTCTTTACCCAAGAAACCCAGCGTAAGTTGGATGACTTTTGGAAGGTCTTAACCCAGAAATAAATTAATGAGTTGCAGCATATCCCAGAGGAGGAAAAACAGGCAGGGAGAGATGACAGGCATCTTAGAAATGAATCAAAAAAACAAGTTTATTAAAATGAATAATGAAGGTGAACAAAACCAAAATCTAAATATTAAAGTGCTATTTCCCAAAGGGACAACTACTCAAAGGTCACTTCTTAAAGGGGCGGGGGGAGGAGTAACCATTGCTGTTCAAAATTGTGCATTCAAATAAATTTGGAAAACACTGCATTCTAAATATCCCTCTTGAATATTCACAAAGCACATTATGTGTATTAAGGCTCCAAGAAAATCTCAGGGAAGAAGCCCGCTCAGTTTTTATCGAACGTTCCCCAATCTTATTTGACATCTTTAGTTTGTGGAGCTTGTACTGACATCCTCCAAGAAACATACTTCAGGAAGCACATACAGCATTTTTGATGAATAACATGAGTATGACCCTCATTAAGCAGCATTTATAGTGAGATAGGCTTCCTCTGCCAGAACCAACTGTTAAAAATCAACTCATGAAATAAAAGAACCCTGTAATTATAATGGAAATAACCACCACCAACAATGTGTCATAAGTGCTAAGTGTAAGGGACTGTGCTAAATGCAATTTTTTTTTTGAGAAGTGGTGGGGGTGTGTTCAAATTCAAATTACACTCCCCAGAAGCTGTATCTATTCATAAACAAGCACACACTTTAACACAAATAAATATATTATATACACTGTTCTGTACCTTACATTTTTCACTAAACATATACCGGCAATTTTTCCAAAACAATACATAAAGAGATTTACTGATTTGTTTTTATCACTGCACAGTTTCTAACATCTAGATGTAACAGTGTTTTTATTCAGTTGCTGTGGATGAACATTTCAGTTATTTCCAATCTTTAACCATTATAAACACTCCTACAATAATTATCTTGTATATAAATCATTTTCTCATGCATGTAATATGTATGTGCATGTAAGATACATTTATAGTACACAGGAATATATAGTATATCTCGGAGAACG